ACGAGACACACCAACGTTTTTTCATCCATGAAGTCTTCCGTAGTAGTTGACTTCCTCGTGTGGCCGTGCCGATCTGTTATCGATTAGCAACGGTGGATCGTGAGGGGCAGAACGATCGCGATTATAACAGCACAGCGGGATGAACAAGAGCCGACAGAGAGCAGGAAACGACACAGAGAGAACGTGAGAACACGGTATATATATATATAAAGACGGTTTGCAACGGCCTTAAAAAAATACGTTACGTGTGAAGAAAGGTAATACACGTGGCATGCAAACGGTGACAAGTCTTCTAAGAGATACGTTATCGAGCGTGTCAATCAAGCTTTACGGGGGGCTTCTGGCTGCGAGCAATGGCTTTTCTTTTCTTGAGATCTAACTTCGATTTTGTCATTATTTTTTTTCCATTTGAAAATTCTTTACTTTAACATGGGTTTTCTTCAGATTCCAAACAAGATAATCATTTCGTTAAACTTCATTATATTTTTAGGCTAATAAATTTATGTATTTATAGGGCTCTGGGAAATATTACAAAGGACAAAACTTTCATCACATACAATGAGTTCTGTATTTTTTTCTGAATCCAATACGAGATACTTAAGGGAAGAAAGAAATTGCTATTTTTGTTTTAACATTATAAAATGTGATTTTGCATAAAAATTCGCAATCCAGATATCATTAACCGTTTGAGGTCGTACGTCTACTCTCAGCCACCGGATACACACCTGTGTCTGAGATATAAACACGACCGTCGAAGGGTTAATTCTTTTGATTAATTAAATGACACCATTGCTCGACTTCCAGTCGTCCACACAATCTCTACCGGGTTACAATCGTTTCCGGGCCGTCTTATTTGTCACTGTTATTCACTGAAAGCTAAACGCCACTAATCAAGACCAAAAAAAGCCTACAGCATGCACTCTCGTCCCGTACGAAAAACGTGCCCTCGGGTGAGTCTCTCAAAACGATCGCGGTGAATTGTTTCGTCGTCGACGATCGACTCCTTCCTCATGGAGAACCATTTCCCACGGTATTTTTTTTTTCCACGGCGACAGGATCTCGACCTCGCCGCGAATTCTGGCGTGCAAGGAAGCGTGGTAGAGGATCGTGTACGGATGATCCACTTCGAACTTTGTGTGCAGGGTTCACGATGACGGAAAACTCTTGGGTCTTTCTCACTTTCTTTTTTTTTTTCGGGTTTAACACTTTCTTACCGCGCGATTTATCACCGAGGGGTCAGCATCGAATTCGAGCAGATCAGGGGGATACGAAATTGTCGTGTTCGGGAAGACGTCAGTCCGTTGGACGGAACAGATAGAAATAGAAGAGGATCGAGAACGAAGAAATAAAAATACGAAAGAAAATCGTGGGAAAAGTCGATAGAGGGTGTTTGGGAATCAACGACGAATGTAAAATCAAGGAAAGATGCGGAAGAATACCACACGATTTACGGATGCATGCCACGTTAACCCGACGAACCGCGTGATGGACAGTGAAGAATTTCACGTTATTTTTTTTTTTATAAAGTAGAAAAAATGCTGCTTTTTATTGCCTGAAACACATTTGTATCGTTCGATGATCCTTCGAAGGAACAGTGACAACACTCTGTTCGCGCGTGAATCGAACAAACGAACGAATCGTCGCGATCGTCCATATCGATCTCTCCTCTGATACTGTCTCTTTATCGACTTCCTGCCGCTGTCCTCTCTCTATCTTTCTCTCTTTCCATTCCTCTTGCTTGTACACATCGTGTCCTCGTTTCCACGTGCAGCTTCCTTCCCGTTTTTCCATCCGCGGTTCTCTTCTCGGAATCGTTTCCACGTCGCAACACGGTTTTCAGTGTCGCTTTCGAAAGAAAAAAAAAAAAAAAGAAAAACGTGCTTGCGTTCCTTCGACGGAACCGACGAAAACTCATCCGTGAAGCGTCAGTTTTCATCCGTGAAGCGCGAGGCGTCGCATCGTGGATCGATTCTCAGGTGGATCTCAGTCGTGGGAAAAATTCGACTTTGCCCTCGATCGATGTAGTCAATTCTTAGCTCGGTTTCGCGAGTCGTTTCGAATTGAGTCACTTTTTCATTAATAAAATTATCAGAAAACAACCGTGTACTATCGATGGTGTGAATGCCTTTTCCGAACTGTGATTCGTTAATAATACTGTTTAAGAACAATCCATCGATACTCAGCCTCGCCTATCGATTGTACATACACTGCGTTCTCTGTTTTTAGCCGGCAATCAGTCTCTGTGTATTCGTTGCACGCCGCATATATATACGAGTAATACTGTCGGTTTTTTTCTAAGTACATTCTACGCGTAGGTAACTCAGGTTACGATCACTAGAAACAAATATACCCTGCATCGGTTCTCGTAGACGAGTTTCTGCATTATATACTGGACTGATAACAATCCCCAAATTTTTTGCTTGTACAGGGTGAATCACGATACGTGATTAATTTGGATTGTTTTACTGCTAGCTGTTCGATCGAAAATTTTGTTTGCGTGCTTAACCATCGGTGCAGACGTGAGAAATAGAACTAAGCAGTTGTTGACACATGATTTTGAACATCGTTTTAATTAAGGTAAATGATATTTTCTTAATGTTTCATTGGTTTAGATGAAAAACAATTATTTGTTATGATGCTTACCGAACTCGTCTCAGTATTTGCTAACTGATGGGCGTAAAAAAAGAGAAAGTGACTTTGGAAATTCTGGAAAGAAAGGGCTGACAAAAATTTGAATAAAAAATCATAAAGCTTTCTTTCAATCATGTTATGCTAGCAAAAAAAATGTTCGATCAAACGGATAGCAGTAGAATAATCCAAGCTGATCACGGTTCGTGGTCCAATCTGGATAAAATTTCTTCAAATAGCAGGAATTATCTCTATTAAATAGCATTGAAGTATCTTATTCTGGGCAAGAAGCAATTATACAGTTATTCTAACTTATAATGTTTTCCGAAGACATCTATCACATTGCTTCTCTGGGCATCTGCAGAATGAGATACTTTAGCATCTGCTTTTTGAGGACATTTTACACAAGGAAATCAGCAGTCTAGTATTTAATAGAGGTCTGTGGTTTCGACCACGAAAAATTATATATATATATATATAAAAAGCGAAACAATATCCGCTGGATAAAGCACGAACAATGGAATGTTCGATGGGAATGGTTGACGTGTGATGACTTTGTTACATCTAAATATCTACGAATACTTCGCTAAAATACTTTCGTGTACCCTGTATGCTCCATCTTAACATTAAAAAAACAACTTAACCGTCTACTCGGTGTTCGCGATTGCACGCGTGCGAAACCACTCTACCGACGACAGGAACTGGTTCTTTCGTAATACCGAGGAAGAAGATTTATCGTTGTGAATCCGAAGAAAAATGGAGGGACCTTCCTTCTATCGTTTCCCGGCTCTAATGGATCCGCGCTGCAGTTTCTTTTACGGGTGCAACCGCGATCGGTGATCACCGTTGTCGATTCGTTGGCCTAAGAACTAGAGGTTCGCTCTGTCTCGTGCCGACCTACCACTGACCGATAGTTTAGGACTCCGTTTCTCGATCGTTCGAGATTATCGCTTTTCTATGTATCTAAACGAGTCTTTTCTCTCGCGAAGAAACGAAAATTTCGGTCTACAAAAGTGGAAGAACGATCGTCGTTTCTCGAAACATTCCGAAAAGAAGCTATAAATTCCTGGTCGGTTTCGCGAGCAACAGTTCCTTTGATCGTCGAGGAATAACATAAAAGTGATTCCCGAAGTTCATTTCGCGAACTCCTCTGTGACGAAATTTCTCCACTTTACGGTTCTGCTTCGTCTCCTACTCCGTAATTCTCCTAGTTTTTCGTTCCACCCACGGTCGGAATAGCGACTGCTTTTCCGACGATGAAAATTCGAACAGGTGAGTGAGTGTTGTGAGATACGGTGGGATATCAGGGGCACACAGGTGGCGGAGGGGGGTGTTGGTGCGGTCTCTACCTCGCGGGTAGACGAACGAAATATAGAAAACGAGCGAGTAGAGGAAATAACGAAGACATAAAAAAAAAAAAAAATAAATAAACAACAGTAGAGAAGAGTAGACAGTACTCCTCGCGAGCTGGTTGAACGACGAGCAAATTAGTTGTAGGTAAATAAAGTCTGTACACCCACCTTGGTTCTGTTGGTAGCATCGAGAACCCTAAAAGAAAAGGCTTGACGCCAGGGGGTGGGGGGTCGCGTAGTGTATGGACTGGGGTGGGCGAGAGAGTCGGGGCCTTTCTTTAGGGGCCGTTTTCTAAGGGTCAGTGCTAGATCGTCGCACGGGGACGACGATGTTTCGTGTGGTGTCGTATCTATTTCAATGTACTGTGTTCCGTTCGAGTCGAGTCACGCTGATATTAATCCCGGAAACGTGAAATATAACTGGTGTAAAAACGAAACATCGATAAGTTCGAAATCTGCGTATGTCGAGTTATTTGAAATCGTTATTTAAAATGTAGACTCGACTCCACGGTGCACTGGATCGTTTCATTGAAGAAAGATCTCGTTGTCAAGGTGTTAGCCTCGATAGAACTAAAACTATATATATATATTAAAAAAAAAACGTTGTAAAAAGAGAGATCGTGAATCGCGAGGGAGATCGTGCTCCCTCGATCTCGATTCGTGCGATTATCTATGCCTCGTGGCTGTCTTTTTTTTTTGTTGGCTTGGTCGTGGTGTGTTGGCGCCTGTTGGGAAGATACAAACGAAAATGTGAACTCTATCTAGCTCTTTGTTTTTGGTGTTTCTCTGCTTGGTTTCTTTTTTTTTTTTGGTTCTCGGTGCGTGCTCGAGACTGTCTCTGAATTGTCGCGACACTAGCCGGCCCCGATCTGACCGGGTTGCGCGATCGTCTCTCGCCGTCTCACTGTCGTCGCCTTTGGGCCGTCTCTCATCGCCTTCAGGAGAATCCGCGGCAATTCTCGCGGATCTCGAAGTAGAGATTCAGCAGTGCCGACTCCGGCACGTCGTGGAAGCACCTACCCTCTGGCCATTGTACGCAAACTGAAACAGAGAAACAGGTGCGAGTTTCGTGTTAAACGATCGATCTAACCTTCATTCCTGTTGGTAGTATTAACGTTAGAAGTCGATAAAAACATGAAAACCTTTTGAAAGTTTACAACTTAACCGGGTCACTGCATCTTTTTAGTATTAATCATCGTTATAAGAGTGTACTGGCAAGTCGTTTTAATTTGCTTGGTCTCATAATTTTGAAATAACGATTCAAGTCAAAGCAAACGATTCAAATCAAGCATCAGTCAAAGCGTTAAACGGAAAACATAACAACGTTAGTGTCGTTTATATCACCGAAGGTACGGAACGTTTGTTGCTCTTGGACGATGTTCCATTGAAAATTCACCGTTCAATTTTACAAAAGTTCAGTTAAATTAATTTAAAGCGATCCGAGAAAAGCCGTACAGCGGGGACCGATTGAAATAAAATTCGATGAAGTTAATTCTGCGTGCGAACCGATCGGCCCGAAGTACGTCGACACGGACGACGGATTGCCCTTCGAAGAGATCGTATCGGAATAAAATGAATTTTCCACGCCGTATCCCGTCCGTTTTTCCCATGAATACTGGACCCCGTTCAGATTTATCGCAGGCCTGCTTTCGGATAAATTACTCGCGTTCCACTCGGTAATTTCGAATAAAAAATTGGCCGGTCGTTTCCAGAGATCATCTGTCAAACCGATCGATCTAAGAACGTTACAGTAAAGAACAAATAATAATTTTTCAATATTTAATTGGTTTCTCATTAATTTTTATAAATGATCCTACCTTTTGATAAGATTCATTCGTTCCAGTGATTTCTTTCCCGAGTCACACCAAAAAACGTAGTTTTTCCCGTATGATTTTCCAACGTATTCGTTTATTCGCGCAGTTTCCGTTCAATTATCCCAAATCCCGTCCCGAAACCAAGATCGAAACATTCGCCGCGGTTCACGTCCACTGATTCCGTTTCCAAGGGACGCGATTAATCACCGTGAGTCTCTCCCTCCCTCTCAGTTCAGTTTCCTATAATCCCAGTTGGTCCCGTGGAAACTATATAATCGGTCTCGGGATCGCTGGACACTAATCAATGTCAGCGTCGATTTTGCCCCGATAAGCTGGACGCATCCTCCGTTGGAATCTCGCGGAGGTAGTGGGAAGATCTGTGGCTGGGTCGTGGGGCGACATTAACGGACAGTGATTTACACACCCGTAATACGGACGGTCGCGATCCTCAGGATGGGACGGCTTTGACGGACGAACGTCGGGTTGGATTGATCGTGGGATCGCGTGACCAACGGCTGTATCTCGCGGCCTGATGCGGCCTTAATGAAACGGAAGGTGGCGAATTATTCGTCCAACCTTAACCACCCTGCGAAGCAACCACCCACACACGGAGCTACCTTCTCTTACGGGTATCGCGACCAGACCGAGCAAACTGGACACGCTATCTGGCCCGCCGCGGAATCTCGTGCATATCTACCGTCTAATTTAAATCTCAATTCCACTGGTTGATAAACAACGGTTATACCCGAGGAAGGACCGTTCTATACGATGCTCCACTGGCATACATACAGTCTGTGATGGAGTAAGATACCTATTCTATATATTTTCTGTTTTATTGATAATTATTCTTGGATGGATACATTTTTTCCTTGGCTAAATGGAGATCAGGGTCCGATGATTTGGTCAGAGAATGTGATTCCATTCGATTTGTTCGGTATTCTATAAAAGGTTTTACGTGTTCTGTATAACATTATCTTCGATTGGAAATATGTTTCTCCTGGTGGAGTAGAGACCAGAATATGACTTTTTTGAGGGGTTTCATTAAAGATTATTCTTGGGTGGATGTATCATCTTGGCAGAATAGAGATCAGGGCCCGAAGATCCAGATCAGAATGCAATTGCCTCCGACTTGTTCGGTATTCTACACATTTTCTATTTTATCGAAGATTACTCTTGGATAGATATATCCTTTCCGTGGCAGAATAAAGATCACGGTCCGAAGATCCAGGTCAGCCCGTAATTACTTTCGTCTTGTCTGATATTCTCCCAAGGATCACTCTATATTTCATTGACCTTTTCAGGGACAGATTATTAAGACCAGAAAAAACATAATTTCTTCTTCTTTTTCACAAGATCCACAATTCCAAAATTAATTACCGTGTTCGGTATTACCTAAAAGATTCTAATCTTGTCAAGGATCGAATATTCCAAGAGCAAAGCGTTTGTTCCCGGCCCGTCATGCTGTTCCGGGATTACATGGGACCAGGCGCTGCGCAAACACGGTTGTAACAACGAACAAGAACCCGTGTGTGTTTTCACGAGGGCGTGTTGTTCCCCGTTGCTCCCGACGCTGTAAATTTTGCCCGTCGAGCCGCGGGGAACGCGTCACCGCCGTTGAATAACGCAAATTGAAACACACGGGGCGTGGTTACGGACGCGAGAAAAGAAGGCAAGCACAGGGCTTGAAAAATACATTTCCCGAAATCGATGCGAATGGAAGGTATTCCCGTGGCGATTTCCTTGGGACGATGATGCTCGCGAGGGTTCACCGCCGCTGGAAGATGCTTCTCGGCCTCCATTTGCAAAATTGTTTCGGTCGACGAGGGGGAAGACTAGAACCGCCGTGATTCGAGAATCGTGAAAGAGTTCAACGGAGAGTGAAGACGAACCGATAAATTGTTGGACAGTTCGTCGCCCGTGTTCTTAACTGTTCTGACTCCATTTTTAAAGAAAAATTTAATATTTTCTCTTCGCTCTATTTTCTTCCTACAACAAATATTATCAATTGAACGTCCATCCTTCTTTTCATTCGTTCTCAGTTTGCGAGCACCCTCGGAGGCATCGTTGATCCAACGCGTCCCAAAAACCGTGAAAAGGTGGCTCTGGAATCCGGCGATTTCGCGAGCATGGTCGTCAATTAAGTGTCCGATTACGGGCTAACATATTCGTCTATAATTAGAGAGCCTTTCATCGCCGCGATCCAGGTTATTCGAACAGTTCACCCGCTTAGGAAACACTTGGCACCGGAGCGATCCCGTCATTGTTGTGTCGAGTGTTCGATTATTTATAACTCGTGCTCGAGTTGAAAAGTCGCGAAGGTTCGATGGGTCTATCGAACGTCTATCGACACCAGAATACATTTACACACCGCTCGAAACGTTCGAAAACGTCGATTCCCCGTCAATACTTCCATCCCATTTACCAATCGGAGTCCTTCCACTCGCAGTAATTTGTTCTCGCCATCCCGTAAGATCGAAGTTCAACGGAACGTCAATCTCGTTAGAACGAAATCGCGTACAGAATTCGAGCCAAGTTCCGACACGGGGATGAAGGCGTCGCGTTGTAATTTCACGGAGGAAGTTCGTGATTAAACAGAGACTGAGATACCGGACGAATAATCAGGAAGCCATTCTTGTTTTCGACGGAATTGTCCCCAGGAGCGTTGTTTTTGGTGTTATACGGGTACGTCTCCGATTGGTCCGAAATTACACGAACACGGTCGATCGTATACACGAAGCTCGGGTCGCAGCAGCAGTTGGGCCGATCTGCTAAGCCGGATCAAGTCGGACGATTTGAACGGGGTCGCAACAATGGAAACGTGATTAGATTTAGATTAAAGGCAATTGCTCGGACGATCGGATTAGAACGGGACTCGGACGGTTAGTGCGTGGATTCTGCGACGATGAATTGTATATACATGTATGTACGTCCGATGATGTTCGTGGCGGTATCTCGAGGCGGCAGAAGTTGTAGTGGGTCGACGATGAAACGTCGAAGCAACGGGATCGAAGCAAAAAAAAGTGAGTTGTTAGTAGATGGTGTTTTTGACGGAACGAAGAATACCATCCTCAGTTCTTTAATATCAGAACTGCAAAAGCAGTCAAAATGACTACTTAGTACGTTCTCAGTACACTCTTGTAACGATGATTACAATGTTATAACGATAAATTTTGTCAGGTCTCTTGTAACCTTTATTACGATGACAGTGAAGAAATTAGTTAATTTATAAATTTGTAAATTTTCAAGCGTTTATCATGCTTGTCGACCGATCGAAATAGGTATGCATGCGTTTATCGTTCGTGGTTCTAGTGTTAAAATGTTACAGCAATGCATCTTCTCAGATCTTTCGCAACATAACTCATACTCTTATTAACCTTAATAATCGTGTCTTTGTGACGGAAGGTAAAAATCTGATCGTTACCATCGCACTTAAATTTCTAGCGTCCGGTCTAAGATTCTTTGCATTAGAAAGATTCAACCGAAATTTTTTGTTCTCAAATTAACGGTGAAATATTAAATAAAAATTATATATTGATCTTCGTACTCTTTGAAGAAACAGTAAATACATTCAGTCAATCCGTGAATAAAATATCAAGAAATTGGGACCTACCGTTCGGTACCGTCGGTGGCTTTTTCGTCTGCACCCTCGCCGTCGCGTTGTTCACCTGTCAATTCAAAAACACTTGATTAGAAATCATCGAATCACCCTGAAAACCATACGAACACTCCAATTGATGAGATCCCCCGAGATCCGGCGCGACAATCGCCTTTCATCGAGACTGATCGCCAACGATTTCCTCTGTTCCGTCCAATGAAACCTCGGGAAAGAGGTAAAAAACGAGTCGAGATAACCGAGGAAAACTTCGAAAACTTTCGACGCTCGAAATCGCGTTCGAAGAAACGTGATTTCGAGGATTCCATGGAAAAATCCTAAAAATTGTACGCAGGAAATTCTAGTCTCGATGAGGAGGAACGTATTTTCCATCGACGGGTGAAAAAAGAAAATGATCGATGGACCGCGATTTTTCATGTAAAAGAAATCGAACAACGCAAAATTGCATAGAATTACGCGCACGGATCTCGTGATCTCGATATCGTCGACAGACGCACGATTCAGATTCGTGTTGTACGCGTGGGATCCTCTCGATTCACATTTTCGTCGTGAATTTCTATCGTAATAACGCAGGAATCATAGATCGCGCGTCCGTCGATCAATGTCCACCGATTTTCGTTCGTGGATATATGATTGCAGCTGCACGTGCCTCTTGGCTCCGTTTCTTTCGTAGATTTTATTCCGAAATACGAGGAAGACAATCAATAATGAGTGGATAACAATTACGATTGGACACGTGAATAGTAATCGATAAATAAAATGACTGATCTCGGGCAGAAGGCACGTTCAGCTGCAAGTTTCGCTTGAATTCAGATATTTCACTGTAATCCTCCGGTCGAGCGATCCTCGATCCCCTAAATCTCGAGACCTGATAATAGTTTTTTCGATTTCACTCTGTCGACCGATTCGATCGATTCGCGACAACATTTAGGATCGATCGGGATCCTCTTCTCCGCTCTGAAATCTCGTCTAAATTCAAGGAATTCTTAAAACATAGTTACTCAGCGTGATCGAGCAAGATCCAGTCCGACATATGCAGTAAATCATCGAGGAGTGTTCGAAGGCTCCTCGGCATTGAACATTAAATATTTATATCAATGGCTTCATAATTCCAAGCTCTATCACTGTGCTGAATCTCATTAAAAAGTCAGCGTTACACCTGAGGACATCTCCTTAGAACACACATCGAGGATTTCATGTATATCTCGGAAGTCCCAGCTCAATCCAGTTCTTGACCCCGAAGACAATCAATTCGCGATACAATCACTCGATGAACGTTAATTAAATAATGATATCCTTCAGAATTTAAGAATGAAAGAAATCCAAGTCGTTTCGTCCCGATTGAATCACGTCTTTGGGACCAAGAAACAAAGAAGCGTTTGATCGATCGCCTCAATGTCCTCCACGTACATTCCTATGCAAATGAAACTGTTACAACCGTAATTTCTCTATTTATCGCGGCGAAATCACTTTGAAAAACACCTATGTCTCATTTCCATCTGGAAATGGGTGAAGGCAGCCTTCTCTAATGGGTCTGGACATTAACAGCGATCGATCGAGACAGTTTTCCGACTGGAATTCCGGGAAAGCGGGCGGCGACGAAGCTGTTCTTGCACTTGAAACGCTGCCATCTCGGAATCGAGCGGGTTGTTATTTTTTTCGATCCCGCTTTCCTGGACGATATCAGGGAAAACGAAAGGGGGGAGAGTGGGGTTAGGAGAAAAAACAAATCAAGAGTCTGTTGCCGTCGATTTCTCGATTATCTCAATTTCGCGTGTGTACTCTCGCAAGCTGGCTGAATAGAAAGAAAGGGGTAGCGGGGTCTTTTCCCCGATTTCCCCTCGACTGGCTGGATTCCTCTTACCCCGTTGCAGTTGTGTCTGTTTTTCAGCACCTTTCGCGCCTGTTCTGTCGCTTTTCCATACGGCCCCTCAATTGAGCGAGGAGGGAAAAGCCTTTGGGGGTGGGTCGAAGCACCGTCGACGACTGATCGTGGATTCAACTCTTTCTGCCACCTATGTTCCATTCCTCTTTCGTGGAATATTGAACAAAATTTGGTTCCTCTTTGTCGAGAAGCTTGTTACGAGTTACAAGCTAATTTCCGCGTCGTGAACTAATAGAGAGGCGTTGGTTAATCGTTTTAATTTATCGAATCACGTTCCATTTCGTGTTTCAGATTATTTGACATAGATGGGCAAATTCATGAAGTAGATAAAGAGTTTCGAATAACGAATAAAAAATATTTTTTTTTTGCCGTTTTGCCAATTTTCGAATTCCAAATAGAAGGAAATTGCTTTTAATAATTGGCAATGAAAAGAAATCATACAAAATAATTGCTGCTTTAACTTCAATCCAGAGGACTTTCGGGAGAAACCGTATGTGTCGCGTTACAGACAGGCCGAATTCTTCCAATTTCCGTCGTTTACTTCCCATCGCGTGACGCTTGTCACGTCTTTTCTGTTGACAATCGCATCAACGAGGTTGCAAGCTTCGAAAATTGCAGCTTGTGTCCGTCTGAGGTCCACCGTTGTCCATAAATTTGTTATACGAATTATTTCCACGTCGCCGTTCGTTCCCGCGAGAATCGTATTTGCATTTTACGAGCCTGTTTCCAACGGACCTGGGCTTGTCGCCGTGGTTCTGTCGTCGCCTCGCGTTATTGTCACGATCGGTTTAACCAAACGTCGTCGCGTAACCATGGATAGGCTAATTCTCCAGCGGGAAATCGCATCTACGAACTGCCTGAACGATAAATGGGCCAATTTGATCCTCCGCGGAAGTGAAACGCAGGCGTCGACACAGGCTTGAATGGGGACAGGAGATTCGAATTACGTTCGTATTCTTGTTCTATCGTATTAATCGCGTTAACTATGAATCGATTTCGATGGACACTAAGTCTTCTAGAACCAATTCCTCGAAGATATCCACACAGAATCGAAGGAATATACAGGGTGAACCACGAATCGTGATCAGTAGAGATTACTCTGTTATTAGCAATCCGATCGAAAATGTTCTTATCAGGAATAGCATGGTTTCAAGAGAGCTTTAACGTGATTATAGCAAATTTTTTGTCAACGCTTTCTTTTCATGACTTTTCAAGGTTACCTTCAATTTTTGGCAAATACATCTATAATTTTTTTACGCCTATCTGTTAGAGGATTTCAAGACGAATTCGGTAAGTATCATAACATAACATGTGTTACTTTTTTTTCGTCTGGGTCGAGAAAAGATTAAAGAAATATTCGAACTGTAATATTACAAAGAGTATCGTATGCTATGCCATGCTATGCCATTTTGTTCATTTATATCAGGTTGCTTCGGAAGTGCATCGTGTGAACTTCTGGTAGACAGTGGCCACGGTTCATCGAAATTTAATATTCAACGACGAATGAAAGATAAATAACCGTTCGAGCGACGAAAGTTCGCGAGTCGAGTGGTGTTATATCTTGCCCCCACTCCGTATTGGCGGATCGAATTCGGTGAGTGGAGAACGCTGTTCGTTTTCCATGTAAAATTCACGAATAAACGTGACACCGATTAATGGGACGGGGACAGCCGAGAAAGTTTCGTGCAACACGTCCTGCACGTTATCGATGAGCCGAATACATGGATTCTGTCTAATCGGCCTTTTGCGAAGTACTTATAACCATTAAAACGACATTTATTATGCAACAACACTTAAGACAACGACAATATAGATCTCGTACGCGAGTAAATTAGAATGAAACCCCGCAACAATGAGAAATCAATTCCTGTTATACAATGATGCGTTCGGTAGCCTCGCGATACTGAACAGCGATCCAATATTAATCGCTCGCGAGAGCAAATGAAAAGCAAATAACGGACGAAACACAACGAAGGAGGGAGGGGAGCCGATCTTATTGTTAGCGAGGAAAATTTGGCGCGTGTCCGATACGCGACAGAATCGGGATCGGCGCGCAACAAAACGGGCAAACAAAATGGGACGAATAGAGAGAACCGGCTCGAATAGACGACCGCCTGTCGGGAATCGATTCTAGATGTTGCCTTGTTCCCGCGTCGCTCCGGATAACAAACAGACTCTCGCGCGTGGACGAAACTCGAAATCTTTGTTTGCCGTTCGTGTTTAACGGCGGAAGGGTCCGTGTGCGCGCATGTACATTTGATTGTTTTGCAAATTAGTCCGTAGATGGGCGATTGTTCGAGATCGATTTAACTTTTTCTCTGGCTGAATGACTTGTGTTTCATCCTTTCGGTTGTGGATGGAAATATAGGACAAAACTGTTCGTATTTTCACGGAGTTACGGTTCGTAGCACGTGGGAGTCGAGAATTTTTTGTCTTTCGGTGAACCAGACACTGTGACGATTTTTGGACGCTCTATTTTGAGTTTTAAATTGGATTTAACGAGGAATCGAAATACAGAATTGAGGGTGACAGGTCGTAAAACTGGATGGGAAGTTATTTTACAATGCAAAAATAAGTTGAATATTTGAAATAAAATTTGTTCACAGACGTTGCGTTGGATATCGCAGATCAGGATTCGCGTAGAAACAGAGTTATCTCGATCCGATTAAGGGGAATCATTGGTAAGACTAAAAGTCGATTGATTCGCGTGTGATTCGTGCAGTGACATCTTGAATCAGACTATCTTCGAACGATTAATCGATGATACCGTGTTCCGAATCGATCACGTTCCAACCAACGTGAAAAGGGGCTCGCGTTTCCGCGCGGACACACATGTTCGTGACGCGGACCGACACGAACGATCCACGATTTCCGGCCGATCCGTGAATATCAGCTCGATCTGAATTGAAATGCAGGAAGTAGGTAAATCTAATCCTCCCTTCTGGTAAATCGTTGGCTCGTTAGGTAGTACATGATCGATTTTTCGAGCCGTGTTTCAACCGTCTCGCGCTATTAATACTCCCCCTCTGGGCTCTCTCAAATCGGTATGGTATACAGGACGACACGTTATTGGTAGTGGCGATGTATAGGTGCTTTTCTAAAACATGGGGAAAAACTGATCCGATCGCCTCGAATTTCCTACGTTTGCAACTTCCTCGATAACTATA